CCTTGTAGTTGGTCTACTTGTATTGACCCTTTTGGTGTGTGGCTGTTGTGCTCCACTTTTGTGCGGGTCACCAGTGTTACAGGGGTGTAGGTAAATGCAGTAACTTGTGTCTGGTTTTGTGGTCTTTTCACCTCACGATAGTGGCCAATTTGTGGACGTGGCACCCGCTGATTTGGCTACAAGTGTGGTTGCTGTTCTTAAATCCAGTGCCAACTTAGTTATCCCTTGCATGTGGGATTAGGTATGTTCCACATTTGACCCACGTTCACTTTTTTCTTTAGGAAGCTGCAGTAATACCAATTTGGTTGATTTTAATTGTCTAGAGTTTGCTGCATATTGAGGCTTGAAGAGTTCCCATGTGGGTGCTCTCAGCAACATTGTATGTGCCTACTTGAGGGCATACCTGGATTAATGCACCTGTGAGGTGTTGTCTCGTGGATTTATTTTTGTAAATTTACTTGGGTTTACCTAAACATACAGCCTTGGTAAGTCATACCTCAGTTCGGTCCAGTGCATTCCTAAGAATAACTTGTCACAGTGAACGCTTGTGAGCTATATTTGGTCCATGTTGATGTTGTACATGTGAATGTGTGACAACAAAGTTATTCTTTGTTTCAAGGGTGGGGGTGTTACGGCTGTATGTATTTCCCTGTGCTGTGTCCATGTTTTCTGTCTTTCAGTTCTGTTCTGGGAGTGCTCCAGCTAATTACTGAATAAGGTCCACCTGGCCTTTGAAGGCGGGCTTTAAAAGCTGCTGTGCAAGTGTCAGGAGGGGACCCTTCTTGATTTGGTACTGCTAGCCTTGCTGCTTCCCAGCTGGGGCATTTTTGTATTGTGTTTTTGGTGTTCTTAATTTATTGTCTAGTTAATATTAATAAATTCACTTGATTTGGTTGTTTTAAAGGTATTTATTTGTGTTGAGTTTGGGTCAGTGTTGGGATGTTGTTCGTCCCATGTTGCCACCAAAGGGTGGGACGTAACACCAGGAAGGGGAGATTGGAGATGGGTCGAAAATTGGACATGATGTCCGGGTTGAGACCAGGTTTCTTGAGGATGGGGATGACAGCTGCAACTTTGAGTGTTGTGGGGACCTGATCCAGATGTGAGGGAGGAATTAATGATTTTGATGGATGAAAGGCAGGTCTTGATTAGGGATGATGGTATGTGGTCTAAGCTGCAGGTGGAGTTTTTGTGGTGAATTGTGACAGTTCTAAAGGAGACAGAGGTGAGAAACAAGACAGTGACGGAGAGTGTGCTGCACTTTTGGGGTGGGAATGGGGATATTAATGTCCATTATGATTGCAAGACGGTCGGAGGTTAATGCTAGAAATATGATTTAATGTGAGACCAGTGGAGTAGACCTCATCTGCTCCTTTCAACATGAAAGGTGGTTCAGGTATCTGATGAGGATCCTCCTGGGTGTTTTTCTGTAGAGGTTGCATCATTTATGTTGCATCATTTTGCAGCAGAAGTCCAGATGGTAAATGTCAAACAGGACTCACACTGATAATTAAACATCAGATATGAGCCACTCATTACTGACTCCTGCAGGACATCGGTGTCACTGCAACAACGACAGAAGAGAGAAACTCAGGAAAGTTTGATCTAAACTTCTACAAAATGTTTTTGGACAAAAAAGTGAAATCTTCATCCCACAGATATTTACAGAGTGGAGAGAAACTCCACTGAGGAACTTTACATCCTTGTTTCTAATGAATCTGTCTCTCAGTGATCTCAGATTAGACCTCCTTCTTGTTCAGCCTGCAGCGCTGTCACTTCCTGCTGATTAAACTCTTTGTGTAGGGCCCCATGTCTCCTGATGATCTGTTGAGTGTGTGAAGAAAAAAAGACCTATATCTTAAATGAAGGAGAGAAACCCACACAGTCACTACCCCACAAAGAGGAAGGAGGAGAGTTTAACTGGACTGACTGAGTGGTGGTGCAATGGGACGGACGTCTTTTCTGCTCTGTAAGTACAATCTGATAAAACTGAAATAACTGTAAACTGTGATTGTTCAACCGTAGATTGACTTGATTTATCACCACAGGGAAAAAGTAATTTTTTATCTTTCTTTATTCAATCTGAACCAGACAGACATTTAACATCCACATGGTGCATTCATTTAGGGTTGGAAGATTTTGCAGTATTTATGGAGCAAGGTTTTCAGTTCTCTGTCTGGTCTGGTTTTATGTTAAATCTCTGGTTTCTCTTCAGTGCTGATCTCTCTGCTGAGCTGCAGGACCAGCGGAGGTGAGTGAACTCTGACAGTCAAAGCTGGTCGCATAACGCTTTCTGGTAAAAAGTCATATAAAATGTTTGTTCTTTAAAGAGATTGAACACAAAATGACACTAACACATACTGAGAATGTTTTAACATTTACTAACTAAATGAACATTTACACTATTCAGAAACAGACTTAAGTAAAACTAACAAGACAACAGTCTCTAAAAACCAGCCTGTTCTGATGCTTCGTATATACACTTTGAGAAAACCATGGCTATTGTACACAAAACCCTGGGGGCATCATAACCGTCACAGAAGTTAGTGAGAAGTGAATATATCAGTGAATATATGCATGTCGACTGGCTCCTTTGTGTTACAACGCTATTGCAAACTGCAGCGTATCATACACATGCAAAATCTCCGTTTTGTGTACAATAGCCACGGTTTTTACCAAGCGTGTATATGTGACGCCTGAGATGAGATCAGGTTGCTAAAAACAAGTTACCAGGATGTAAGCTCAGTCAGATCTGAGATTTGAGCCTTCAGTTATGAAATAAATCAAATTCACAGAAGACTAAAAGAACTTAATTGGTATATAGTGTTTATTTGACAAAAGGAATTTGTCCCTTCGTGTATGTTGAAGTGAAGCTCCAAGAATCCAATTAGTTTCATTAAATGCTTAAAAATATTGCAAAAATGAAAAAACTCAAAGGTCACCACACCTCTAGTTTCCTTTTTCCACATGTTGGATAAATTGCATTCATTTTATTCCTGGTAACACTGCCACTTAATCACTAAAGCCGCAGTCTCCCAGAAGTCTCTTGCAGGCAGCCTCAGGCCTGAAAAGAGCACCAAGCTGTGATGCATTTATGGTCAAACAGGTCAAAGACTATTAACTATTACACCTGTGATAAAAACATCAGGGAACTGTGGTGGAAATTATATTCCTGGTGAGAGGTTGAGCAAATAATTGAGTTACAATGAACCGTTGTCTTTGAAGAATTTATTTAACAATAGAGAATAAACAAAGAAGTACTACAACACTAACATCTGGCCCTGAGAAAAGGGCTGCATGATCATTTACACAGTCTGGGTTTCTATGTTTTGGAGAACAAAAGATCTTTGACTGGTCCCAGTCAAGGAAGGAGAAGAGCAGCTAGCGAGGAAAACAATCAACAACCCCACATCCCTGACCTAAACCCCACACATGTGGACAGACTGGAATAACAAAACAATAATAAAAAGGGAACAGGTTAAAGATTTCAAACAATATATAAGACATAATAAAAGGAGAAAAAAGCACTCTTAAGTACTTGCGTAAAGGATTATAAGTAAAGAATAAAACAATTTTCTGCCCTTATAGGAAGTATTTAACCTTTTAGATTTCACTTAAAGACAACTTATTTTCCAGCATGTAGGGCAGCCCTATATCTCTGCATTTCACTTTCTTGACTGGAAGGGCACCTTAAATTTAAAATACATGACATAAATAACTCAATTTAACAAAAAAAAAATCACATCAAAAAATATAGTGAATCTTCATAATGCAGCAGGTGCAAAATTTGAATCTTCGTCAGTCATCATCAATTCCTCCCTTAATTCTGTCCAACAATATAAATGAAATAAATGATAAATATATTGTATTTCCATTATTGTTGTTTTTAATAATTAACAAATGGTTAAAAAACTATTTGTATTTCTGGGCTGGTTGGAAATAATTAATGACAATAAAAGACTGGAAAAATACTGTTGCCCAGTGTGTCAGCAACCACATGGTGCTGATTAGTTTAGCATTTCCTGTCATTCCCAACAAAGTGTCGAGATTTTACTGTGAGACATCTGGTCATTTCGCTAAAATTTAACGTATTCCCTCCAGCCTCTCTGACTGTGAGTCCCAGCAGCTCTCAGCTGTTTGAAGGAGAGTCTGTCTCTCTGAGCTGTGAGGAGGACGACAGCTCTGCTGGATGGACGCTGAGGAGGAACACAACCAGAGGAACCAGGACTCAGTGTGGAGCTGGCTGGGGAAGATCAGCTGGTTCTTCCTGTTACATCAGCTACATAAACCCATGGGACAGTGGAGTTTACTGGTGTGAGTCCAGAGAGGGAGCAACCATTAACACCATCAACATCACTGTCACTGGTAAGATCAGACTGTGGAGTTAGTGTTGATGAAGCTGTGTGTAAATGATGAAATGCTGTAGTTTGTCTCTGTGTTGAGGTGGACCAGTGATCCTGCAGAGTCCTGTCCTCCCTGTGATGGAGGGACATGATGTCACTCTGCACTGTAAAACAGAGACCCCTCCCTCCAACCTCCCAGCTGGTTTCTATAAAGATGGCTCCCTCATCAGGACTGAGCCTACAGGTCACATGACCATCCACCATGTTAACAAGTCTGATGAAGGCCTCTACAAGTGTAACATCAGCGGTCGTGGAGAGTCTCCATCCAGCTGGATCTCTGTCACAGGTGAGGAGCTCAAAGATAATTCTCAAACTGACCTTGTTTTGTTTTCTACATTGAGTTCAGCAGGTTTCAGGACAGCAGAGATGATTCATGATGTGACAACATTTGTCAGAGTTCAACCCACCGTTTGATACATGATCTTTTTAACTCTAAAACAGAGTGACACCATGAATTAACTTCTGTGTCTTTCTGTTAGCATGCTGTTGAATAAATTATTAATGTATTTTTTTCTGTGCCTTTAATTATAATTTCTTGTTCATTCCAGTGAAACCCACCACTACAAGTCCTCCTTCCACCTCCTCTCCTCCTGGTTCCTCCTCCTCTTCCTCAACCACTCCTCCTTCTGATTCCATCTCTCCTCCTCTCTCTGTGTTGTTGTCTGCTGTTCTGACTTTCTGTGTTCTGGTTCTTCTGGTTCTTCTGGTTCTTCTGGTTCTACTGGTGAGACGATGCCTCCATATAAAACCTAAAGGTCAGTCACAGACTCCACGTGCTGCAGTTCACATTTAAAGTCACATTTTACTGTTGACACATTTCCATTAACACTTCCGGACGTACAAATAATAACAAGTTACAAACTGTTTCTTTAAGTCAGACGTCCATCAGGATTCTCATTAATCACATTGCTGCTGTTAATAAAACAATCTCACCACAGGCTCCATTTAGTGAGCTGTGGAGCTTTTGATCAAATCACATGACCTTCATTGATTTAAATTTCTGCTCCTTTTGGTTCATTCAGCTGCTGAAGAAGAAGTTGGAGATGATGACATCACAGATGACATCACGTACAGTGATGTCAAAATATCACGTCACCTACAGCAGCCAATCAGACGCAGCAAAGGTAACGATGTTTTATTGATTCTGGACCCTCTCCATCTGAAGGTTGCCCCCCCCCCTAAAAATCTATTAATAATTGTGTAAGTAGTAAAACAATATAAATGTAAATGGGGCAATAAAAGTGTGTTTTAAGTTTAGAAACATTTTGAGTCCCCCTCTCTGGCCTCACAGTGTCCACTGCCTGCTTTTCCCAAGGGGGTAAAACAGAGATCGGACAGTGAAGCCAACCAAAGCCTGCATGGAGGGATCCATGTAGGCCCAGAAATGACGTTAAAACTCTGTGACACCCCGTCGCACATGAGAGATGTAACCGTATTGCTTATTATAAACTCTCGGCAATCAGATCAATCAGTGACGCTGCGTTGGTGTTTGGCAGGTGAGCCTCGTAGGTGGGCTGATTAAACAGTGACGATCCGAGTCAGACAAACACACTGAGCCATGAGACTTTTTCTTGATGCAGCTACCAGAATTACGGTGTTTCTGTCACCGCGGTGAAATTAGTTTTAAGTTGGATATTCGACAGACATTCACCCAGGATCCAGTGACGGCTTTTAGTCAGTTCACCCAGTGACGGTTGTATAAGTGCGGTTAGCTCACCTCTGATGGCTCGCTTTTAACCAACGGGGGTTAGCTTAGGGACCATCAATAAATTACAATTGTGAGAACAGTGTTATGGGAAAATCATTATTTATTTCAATAGCTTCCAAGTCATGTGACACAGGGACTTCAAACCAATGCCGAATTGTAGTACTAGACTAGGCAAATGAGACACACCCCTTCATATTTGATTTGAGAGCCTTTTTTATTTTATATGAATATTTCAATAGATTCCATTTCAAATGATTCAGGGACTCAAAACCAATGCCGAATAGTACTACTACCTGTTACACATATTACACACCTCTTGTACAACTGCAGTTGTACCACACAGAGTCAGTAATTTTCTTCTACAGCACTGAGCAGATTTCAAAGAAACACTTTATTTACACAACGGACATTCCCAGTTTCCTTTCTTTGCCTCTTCATATTGTGTGCTGTCCATTTCCACACACTGAGCATGGAACCACCGTTCACAGCCATCACACTGGACCTGTGGAATTAAAATAAATCTTTCGTAACATATTTATGTATATATATTTATGAAATCTGCTCAATGCTGTGGAAGAAAATTACTGACTCTGTGTGGTACAACTGCAGTTGTACAAGAGGTGTGTAATATGTGTAACAGGTAGTAGTACTATTCGGCATTGGTTTTGAGTCCCTGAATCATTTGAAATGGAATCTATTGAAATATTCATATAAAATAAAAAAGGCTCTCAAATCAAATATGAAGGGGTGTGTCTCATTTGCCTAGTATAGTACTACAATTCGGCATTGGTTTGAAGTCCCTGTGTCACATGACTTGGAAACTATTGAAATAAATAATGATTTTGCCATAACACTGTTCTCACAATTGTAATTTATTGATGGTCCCTAAGCTAACCCCCGTTGGTTAAAAGCGAGCCATCAGAGGTGAGCTAACCGCACTTATACAACCGTCACTGGGTGAACTGACTAAAAAGCCGTCACTGGATCCTGGGTGAATGTCTGTCGAATATCCAACTTTAAACTAACTTCACCGCGGTGTTTCAATCGCTGTTCTACGTCTGCTGCGCGATCGTGCGCAGTAGACGCTGGTGCCGACAGGAAGTAGCCTGTTCAATCAAGCTTATTGTCGCGCGAAGTATAGACAAAAATGGCCATTACACATTTTTAATGTTTTTATGGGGGCCTACAACGGTAGATTAAAGCGGGCCTGGCTACACACACACGATATAACATGTCTTAGGTGTTAAAGTTCCTCACTGGAGTGAAGAAGACATAACACTCGCATAACACCTGCAGAGAAATATACAGAAAGAGACACTATCTTATATTAAATTAGAAAACACGGTGGATATTTTAAAGCAATCAATCAATCATCTCTTAATTTGTCCCCGTAGGGAAATTAGTTTGCAGAACAATCAAGTAGGCATCATACAGCACAGAGAGAACCTTCAAACTGGTAAACACACACTAATACATAACACATAATTTCCCAAATCCCACACCTTACTACTGATTAAATTAGGCAGACCAAGCTGAGCATCCTGCCTATTTGGCTATGAATGTGCCTTACCTGTTTAAAAACTTGATTTCTTAAGGCACAAATTTATCTATTTTCGGTAAATAGAGGGAGGCGATATCGTAACAGTTCAAATGAAGGTGCAAAGTGGGGCCTCTTGTCTCCCACAGTGTTCATCAGCCTTTCCCTATAGATACATTCCCTACTCGGTCCCTAATAGTTTACTGGCCGTTGTTACTGTTTTTCTTACTGACTTTTTCTAAACCTCAGTAGCATTGCCAAACCAGCAAATGATGCAAAAAGGCAAAAACACTTTCAATAAAAGAACAACAGTTTCTTTAAAAACTACATTCTTTGTTGTGTCTTAGTGTTTATGAGGTCAGACCACAGATCCCATCTGAGCTTATGGTCGAGCACAATGCCAAGGTATTTGTAATTATAATAAAAAGGGTTCCCATTGATAACAGTAGGATTTGATGATTGCAACGTTCTAAAGTCAATGGACATTTCTTTTGTTTTGGTGGTGTTTAGAAGGAGGCTTCACTTCTCACACCACGTTAGCAAGTAGTAACGAACTGGTCAATGCGCCTCCTCATCATATAGGCTCATCAAGGCAAGTAAGCAGGTAAAGCAACAGTAAACACAGCTGATGTCACAGAGCTCATCTGCAGCTGTGAAAACGGAATTGCGATTGAAAAAACAAGCGAGTTGTCTTTTATTAAACTGCTGACAAATAAAGTCAGAGCAGAGAGAGAGACAGGTGTAGGTGCATGTGTGTCTGAAGTGAAAAGTACTGTAATTTGAGATTTAACACTAAAATAAGGCGGAGAATTAAGTAGAATTAAATCAGTGAGATTAGAAATAAAATTCTAGAAATAGGGTAATGTATTCTTTCAAATATTTTCAATTAAAATATATTTTAAAATGAGAAAATATCCAATCAAGAAAAGTTGCAGAGATGTTTGTCAGTTATAGTTGTCAGAAAGAAAGAAGTGGAATCAGCAGGTCAGACCTTTTAAATAATCAGTAATTAGAGTCATTAGTGCATCTCTTATTTCAGCTGGTACAGCTATAATCCTGTGTGTGAACTGATGTTAGGTTAATGTTGTAGATCTACTGTTGTGTTGGGTTTTGCTCAGTATGATGTTCAGTGGCAGATCAGCAGCAGAGAATATTAAGAGACATCTTCTGTCCCAGAGGAAACCTAAAATACTATGTGGAAGATGCCAGATAATTAGGTTATAATGACCGCGTGGTGAGTCAGATTTAAACAATTATTGCTTTGTGTTGTTGGCCAGATAAAAAGACAGAGAAAAGTACAAAAAGTCATGGCAATTTGGTAACATCACTGCCTCCATGCTACACTAATAATAGCAGTAAGACTTCCCTCTGTGTACATTTATCCTATACTAGTACTAGCTGTATTATTTGTGTCCCTTTCAGACATGAGAAATTTTATGTTTTCTGCCCCACCCTAAACTGTTAGATTAAATTCACACCCTTGTGTTTGTTGCATGTGAGTCTGTTTTGTGTCCTGTGGTGAATCTGCTAACAGACGCTAGCAGCTCTGCAGTCGTCCAGTTTCCTCTTTCTGATAAAAACACTTCAGCCTGACGTGTTTCTGCACATGTTTCACTGCAGGACTGTTAAAAATAAATATTACAATAATAAAGATATAATATGAATGAATTGTAAATGCTCTGATAAACACATAAGCGTGAGTAAGCTTATGTGTTTATTATTTATTTGTTTATTTAATGTAAATAGTAAATTACCCTTTATTCTTTTCCATTTTGTGACATGGATCTTAATATTTAAGTCAATATTTTGACTCATATTTGGATTTCACTTTCATAAACTTTATAATTCAGTAGTCTGTTTGACGTCCTGACATCAAGTTCAAGATTGTTTATTGTCATTCATTCACATACCGAGTATACAAATTAGCGAAATGCCGTTTCCCACAGTCCATGGTGGTTAAAATAAATTCACAAATAGTCGACATGTTCATCTATATTCAGCTTTCACAGCAGCAGCAGTCTTAAGAAATATACTGCCAAAATGTGAATTGCATTCCAGTTAAATTCAGCTGTATGCTGATATTTGCTGCCATATTGATGAAGACAGAAGGAAAAAATACAAATAACATGTCTCTCACACACACACACACACACACACACAGACACACACACACAGACACACACACACACACTTTCCCCTTACCCACCTTTTCATTGTACATAGTTGACCTTAGCACGAGACATCATTCAGCAATATATGGCACTTTTCAGTGATATTATGACTTAATAGTGTGTTTGTTATGTTCAGTGATGGATAGTAACTCAGTACATTTGATCAAATACAAATTAGACGTATTTGTACTTTTTTTGGCACCTTCTACTTCTACTCCACATCTCAGAGGGAAATGTTATACTTCATCTTCTTTACATTTAATCAGTTAGTTACTTCACAAAGAAAGATTTTAACACACAAAACACATAAATATTTGTTATAAATGAAACTACCCAACAGTTTATAGACAGCTGGTACATTAGTTTACTATGGTAATTGTCTTTCGGTAACTGTGAGAACATTTCTCACTGTTTTTACAATCGATTAATGGAGAGAATAATCAGCAGATTAATCCACAATGAAAATAATCATTACTTGCTGCCTGAGACAAAACAGTTCAACCTCAACCAACTACATTAATGCATGAGTAATAATAATCTAATGTATAATAATAATCAATATATAATAGTATGAAAGTAACAAGGCACATTTTACTGTACTTTTACTTTTAATACTTCAAGTACATTTTCCTGATCATTTAGTTCAGTTCAGTTCAGTGTGCTTTATTGGCATAAAGGTTTTATTTACACAATTTTGCCAAAAGTTTACATTTCAATATAACATAACAATGACATAACAAGATATGTCCAATCAAGACCGTTCAATTTAGCAGTTATAAATTACAAAAACAACAAAAAACAAACACAGATAGAACGTAAACTACAAATAACAGTGAACTAGATGTAACCTGCCACGCATATTGTTGGCTGAGTCACTCGCTGTCCCTCAGGTTGGGACACAAGGACACATACTTGGCAGCAATGTTTGCCATCTGTCGTTCTCCTGGGATTATTCTTAATTTATTAAGTTCCTCTATGGTACGCTGTTGCCTCTAGGCAACATACCCTTTTTGCCCTTGTACACCTCCACCAAACATCACAAAATATGATGCATTACTTTAAAACAGTTGCAGGGCCTTAAGGAAACCAGTAGCAGTCTTAAAATTTGTCACATGATGCTCTGGCGCCCATTAGGAATCTTTTTACTGCTGCACTAAACTGCCCTCAAAATATATTTTTATGCCACTTTTTGACCCAGAAAAATTATATTCACAATAATAAGTGAGTAAAGTTGCATTATTAATTGTTTAATATAATTTATTTGATAATTATATAATGGAAAATAGTTCAAATGGAAATGTTGCCTTGAAGCAGCATCAAACCATTATGGAATCCCGTCATGCCATTTCTTGGTGTTGTGCATTAGGTTTATGTACTGATCAAAAGCAGAACAGTTAACGTAATTTTCACTCATTTTACATTGATTCATTCATTAATTATACATTTGATGATGTTGGTTGTAATAACATTGTAATAAAAAATGTATTACACTGGATATTTCAATCTTACGCTTTGTTATTCTGCCTGCAGAGCAGATGATTATATAAGGGAATCGTAGGGATTCGTAGGAATCGGGTCCAGCGGGCATGTAGTTGGACGGCTACGGGTCAAGAGTTCTGATACTTCGCTCTCTGTGAGAGGAGTAAACGAGGAGAGTGAACAACCACTGACCTGGGAGGGCAGAGGAAAAGATGTAGTAGGACTGCCACAATGGTTGAGGTTGAGTGTTTCAGAGAATTGGCTAGTTATAGCCGCCACTTTGCCTGTAAAGAAGGCAGCAAAAGTATCAGCAGACAAGTTTGTGGGTGGTGGAGGAGGATTTAGTAGCGCTTTAAAAGTGGAAAATAATTTCCTTGAGTCAGTGGCACTGCTTGTTCTGTCATTATAGAACGCAGTTTTGGCAGCACTGATGCTTGTTGAGAAGGAGGACAGGAGCTATTGGTAGCCCTTAAGGTCAGCAGGGTCTTTGGTTTTTCGCCATTTTCTTTCAGCCGCTCTGAGATCAGTACGGAGCCCACAGATGGTATCAGTTAGCCACGGGTGGGGCTGGTTTGGGCGAGCAGGCTTGGTGGATAGAGGACACAGGCTATCCAGGCACGAGCTTAGCGTAGAGCACAGAGATTGTGCGGCATCATTGACCTCAAGTGAGGAAAATGTGTTGAGGGAAGGTAGAGCGGAAGCTACCACTGAGGCAAAGTGAGCGGGAGACAGGTTGTGGAGGTTGCGGCGGTGTAAAACCAATGGTGTTGGAAGAATGAGCTTTTCCTGTAGGCATACCGTGAACTGAATGAAACAGTGGTCAGACACATATAGAGGTGTGACTGTTAGGCACTCTGTGGCACAGTTTCGGACAAGAAGGAGGTCAAGCACCTTGCCAGCTTTGTGGGTCGGGGGGCTGAGAACCCGTGTTAGATCAAAGGACTGAATCAGACACAGGAAGTCTGCTGAGTTTGAATTGTCTAAGTGAATGTTCATGTCACCGAGGACAAGTAGGGGACAGTCATGCTCTGGGGTTGAAGACAGCAGTGTGTCTAGCTCCTCCACAAAGTTACCCATTTGTCCTGGTGGACGGTATATGACAATCACAGAGACCTTTACCGGAGCGGACACAAAGACAGCATGGTATGCTGCTGCAAACTCTTATTTGCCCCACGATTCTGGCTGTTACATCTTTGTTAGTTTCCTTTTTAAACAGTCCGTGGTGCAAAAAATGTTTTATTTAATCATGAGCTTTTCATGAGCTTTTCTCTCTAACGCCTGGTGCACACTAGAGGATTTTCAAATCTTAACCGGTTTCACCCCCGGTGAAATGGTGAAAATAGATATCCAGCCCTTTAATTTTAGTTTAGGACCAGATAACTAGTATGTGTTTTTTGTCTCTTCCTCCTGATGTTTAAACAAGTATTTTTAGCGTTTAGTATTTTTAGCTATGAGTGTTCATTTGGTTTATTCTAATTGGTGTTTGTAAAGCAGTGCTGTCTTGAGAAAGGTTTGTATGACATGTTGCAGGGTTTGTTAGTTTCAGGATTAGCAGGTATAAAGAACTATTTTCTGGGTTCAGCTCTTGGGTTTTAAGAGTCTTGGGGACTTGATCTGAGGTGCATCAGGAACTTTAGTGCCACTATTATCAGTGGAAACTAATTCTGACCTGCACGCATTTGTAGGAGAGGCACTTGTCGCTTTGGATAATAGCGTCAGCTAAATGAATAAATGTAAATGTTTTCTGCAGAAATCTGCATGTAGGGTCCCAACGTGGTGCTTCTTCCATCTGTTGTAGTTCTTTATATATTTTTACTTAAGGTAAGGAATAGGGAAAACTTCAGTCAGCACTGCTAATGTTACTGTTTGTGCAACAGACTGTTTATGTTTAAGAATGCATCAACTTTGTAACAGTGGCATTAAATAATCACTGACTACTTGACAGAGCGCTGGTGTCCTGCAGTTTCTGTTAAACTGTATTGGGATGTTACCTGAAACTGACTGAATATGGCTCAGCCCCACCTAGAACTGTTTTCAACAGCCGACCCTGAGTCTCATATTTCTGAGTAGCTGCAGATCAGTGAATTCAGTTCATGAAGCTTGTATCTGCAAAAGCACACAAGGAAAAACTGTTTTCCCCATGTCACAATATGTTTATATTGAAGTGACACCAATATTTTATATGGATCTTTAAATAAAAAATACAAATTTTAAATTCAAAGTTTCACTGTAACACAGTAAATAATTTAGCAGCTTGTGTGACGTCCTGACATCAAGTTAATTTATTCTATTTATTTATATTTCATCCACATACTGAGTATACATGAACAAAATGCTGTTTCTCACAGTCCAAGGTGCTAAAAACAAAGTCAGAAAGAGTCAACATGTTCATCCTGTGCAGAACATGTTGACTCTTATCTTGATCACAGCCAGCAGCTCTGTGGTCGTTCGACTCAGATAAATCAGCTTCACTTGTGTTTGGTCTCTTTTCAGCTTTCACAGCAGCAGCAGTGTGAACAAGAAAAAAACTGTCAAAATGTAAAATGTTCTTCAGTTTAATTCCTACACGTCTGTCTTCAGCTATATTCTGATATTTTCTGCCATATTAATAAATTTTCTATTATGTCCTATTCAAATACTGTACAGAAATACATATTATTATAATAGAAGCATATTAATCTAAATACTTTTTGTACAATGGATGCTGCAGTCGTAGTAGCGTAGTACTAACAGTACTGGTATCAGCTGTGTGTGTTTTACTTTCCAGAGAGTGATCCAGCTGCAGTCTACTCTGCAGTGAGAGGAACAGGAGACGTCAGTTATGGACAAATAGCCATCAAAGACATCAAATCAAACAGGACGAGAGGTACAGCTGCTCTTTGTCTCCATCGTGAACCAACTCTAGAATATCTGTTAGAGAAGAAAACAGGATGATGTTTACGTGGTTTGTGATTCCTGCTGTTAATTTCTCTGTTGTGGTTCCTGGTAGCAGTTTTTTTTGCAAGTTCCACTAGAGACAACTTTGAGGGTTCAAGCCTGACAAGGAAGCGAGAGGAACATTTAATTATACAGCACTTTAAAAAAGATGAGATCCCTCACTGGCTTCCCACCACTATGAAACTGATGGGGTTTGTTATAATACATGACCAAGCCGCAGAGAGAGACGGCTACAGGGAATCAAACATCTGAGCTCTGCAGTTGTACTCAGGATCATTAGGGCCTATAACCCTGAATCCAGTCTGACAGGCAGAACTTTACATTTATTCATTTAGCTGACACTTTTATCCAAATCGACTTACAATTGCTTTATATGTCAGAGGTCGCCTCTGGAGCATCTAGGGGTTAAGTGTCTTGCTCAGGGACACAATGGTGTCTCACAGTGGATTCAAACCCGGGTCTTTCACACCAAAGGTATGTGTCTCATTCAATGCTCCATCACCACCCCACCTTTAAAAGGTGAAGACATTTCTGTAAATTGTCCACATTGTGAAATTTGAGTAAAGTCTAGTTTTTGGAAATTAAAAAAATATACAATATGATAACATCTTGTCTGTCTCTTTAAAATAATAAGGTTATTTATTGTGTTGGGGTCAGAATTAGTTTTAGGTCAGTGAAGGTGGCTTCATAAAGTCAGGACATTTTTTTAAGGAGAGGACATTATGAGGATTACTGTGAACATTTCTAAATGTTTGGGACTAAATAATGAATTGTGTCAGTGATGGTCTGAAGTACAACAAATGATTTTGGTAATTTGATGAGTTTTATTCTGAAATCACATTGTCATTTTTCTCTATGTTTAGATTTTATGTAATTTACATTACACATCGGACCATTACATACATTACAACCTTTCACATGAGACCTGGTCAAACTACATTTATTTTATCGTTTTACTTCCCCAAGTCTCAGACTGTAGTCTGTTTTTGTTGATAATGTGTTGTATGGGAGTCTGTTTTTTGTCTGTGGTGAATCTGTTAACAAGATAACAGATCTGTGGTCGTCCAGTTTACTATTTCTGAGAAAAACAGATCTTCAGCTGAACGTGTCTCTGCACATGTTTCACTGCAGGACTGTTCATTTAAAAAATAACAAACATAAATTATAAATATGCAAAATTACATTTCTCTGTACATTCTGCTCATAAACAGGATCTAAATATGTGTAAAATGTTTTACTGTTGTGTTTTACTCAAACATTATTTATGTTTGTTTTAATGTTATTACATTAAGTGTGTAAGTGATTTTAAATAAAAGAGAAGATGAACTCAGCAGAACGAAGATACTTTTTCCATTCTGCACATTAAACCACAGAAACTTCCTCCTGTTGGTTTCAGTGAACTCTGGTCTGATGCTGGTGGTTTTTCACTATAGGGTGATCTGTTTTAGCTGATGGTGACGCGTCTATATTCTGACTTCTGCTGAAATGTGTGATCTTGCATTAATAGAAGCGAGCAGCCAACTTCCTTTTCCAGCCAAATACTTTCCAGTTATATTTGTTCTTTCAGCTCTGCTGTCATTTATGAAGCCTTTAATAAAACTTATTGGTTATTACTGGTCTACATGTATTATATGCGTTGCAGTACTACTAGTACAGCAGTAAATGTACTAACACCACTGGTATCAGTTGTAGTATTTGCAGTAATGTAATTTCTGTGTTTTGTTTTCCAGAGAGTGATCCAGCTGCAGTCTACTCAGCAGTAAGAACAGGAGACGTCAATTATGGACAAATAGCCATCAGACCACAAAGGACGAGAGGTACAGCTGCTCTTTATTTATTAACCATTTCATGCATCATGTCCACATTTGTGTACAGTTACTTTAACTCCATTTGGGCTCAATATTTCATGGTTACGTTCTCCAAGTCATTTGAGGACAGTGTCAGAAGCTTGATAGCAACATTGTAGTGGAGTCAGATTGCATTAAGTTTGATTTCTGTAACCTGCTAGTTTATCTATTCTACTTTTTCAAAGACGTGAATTGTATTATACGATAATAAGACATTTAACAAATATATAAACATAACAATGCAAACGTGCATATTACAACATTAAATGGCTTTGCGGCTTTTAAAAATAAATAAGAATCATACTCACATACTGTAAAGAAATCATTTTGAACTTGAACTATGTAATCTGCATGTTGGTTTCTTGTTTGTTAATATGTTAACTCTGAGATGATTCACCATGAAGTTAGATAAGGATAAAAAGGGGTTGATTGATGTAGTTTGTATGATGCTTTGGCAATATTGTTGTTACACATTCATGCCAATAAAGCTAATTTGAATTGACTTGATAAATATATGCTACTGGGTTTCCGCATACACGTAACCTCAGACAAAGACAGGATCATCTACAGCTTGTTTCAGACAGAGGCTGAAATGAAGAGCCAGTATAAGTAGAAACAAATATTTTTTTGAACTTTGAATCACACAAAGCTGCCACACAGAGTCATAGAACTACAATATAGGACTAGAAAAGCAGGTTAATAGCTCTCCTTTACACTAATGGTCATGCACAGGCTGCACAGCCCCCCTTCTCTCTCAATTAATCAAGCTCAACACGGACACGGTGGATGTTTTAAAAGCACGGACCAGGTAAAGCAACATTGAACACACCTGTGGGTTATTCGTCATCAGGGGGGTATTGATTGATAATTAACAGCCTCCTCCACACGCGACTCACCTTATTTTACAATAATACAGAATATAAACTTCATGAAACATCTGACAAATACAGCACCAGAGCAGACAGGACTCCTGTAACCTGCTGCAGGTTTGGTGAAAATGTAAAAGTTATTTAAAAGTGAGTGTTTTATTATGAAGATAGTTAAATGAATCCCTGTCAAAATGATACTAATGGGGATCCTAATAAAGAGAGAAAATTGTATATGCTGTCAGTTATAGTTGTTAGAAGAAAGAAAAAAAAACGTAATCGTTCGTAATCTCTACTGACGGCAGTAGCATGCTAAATATGGCTCTTTTAGTCTGAAGACTAAAGATGTAACATTGTTGACAATTTCTGCTTTCTAAAAATGATGTAAACTGAGAAGTACTTAAATTAATCTGATATTTCCCCACTCACTCTGAACAGCCCAAAAAATGTTTCCTTGCAACACATTCAGAAGCAGAGTTGTTGTCTGGTGACGGAGTTTCTTTGTCTCATGTTGTTTGAACTGTTTGTGTGTTCAGAGTTTCCAGCAGAGCCAGAGGTCGTCTACTCTTCACTGAGGTAGACCTTCACACCAGTCCAACCACTGATGTCCAGTTGAGCAGAGCACTGTTACCTGTTTCATTGTATTTCTCATATATTTATACAGAATCTAATCATAACTTCATGTTGTTTTGTGGTTACTAATAATAATAAACTTCGGTCTCATTCTTATTTTTCTCCTGTGGTTCTCACAAAGCTGTCAGATGGAAAAAAAAATACAAATCACATACACACATCTGTCTTCAGTGTAGATAACTACAGTGGCCCGTAGGTCTCAGGCCAAATACAAAAGCCACAACGGAAGTGAACCACAATGGAATTTGACAGAGAAAGAGACGTTTAGTAACAGTTCCAACAGTAACTGTTCTCTTAGGAACACAATAGCAATATGTCATGCGGTGTGTGTGGTGAGGCAGGAAAGGGTTTAATCCAATGAAAAGCGAGTACACTTACAATGTAGTGGCTAAGTCCAGGGAATCCAAACAAACAGGAAACCAACAGAAAATCCAGAGAAACGAGGAAAGATCCTTAATCCAAAGAACAAAAGAAGTACAGGCTGGAAACAGGCAGGCAAGACAAATGGCAACCATAACACACTGCAAAGCAACTGAACACAACAATGACTGGACAGGGAATGAACAGAAACACCAGACATTTATACACAGAGGTAACGAGCAGGGCGGGAGAAACACAGGTGACGGGGATCAAGGTTAACGAGACACAGAGAGACAGCAGGGAAGACAGAGACACCAATAAACTAACAACTAACAGGGAAAACAGACTGAACTAAGATTAAACAGAATACAGCACAAACATGGACAAAATAACAGAAGTACAGAGAACTGGAGAAAACACTAAGACATGAACTGAGACACAGAACTAAGGAAATACGATGAGACAAGACAGTACTTAAGGCAAATGAACGAAATAATAAACTAGACTACCAAACTCCAAACCATGACAATATCAAATAAACACAGACAAAAACAACAGCACCAAACTAAATCCTAACACAATATGGCTGTCCTGCATTCAGGAGGTCCAGGTTCGAATCATGCAAAGAGCTTACTTCTTAATGTGACTTTTTTCTGAATAATAGTGTCATAATAGGCCTTGTTGCGTTTTCAGATTTTGAGAAAGCAGAGGCTGGGTCCAAATTAAAATTAACAAAAAGATTTAATTACAAAAAATTTGTGAATAAAGAGATGGCATTACAGAACAAACAAATAACACTGCAGTGGACTGAAAAGTAGGTCCTCCTCCCAGATCCACAGCTTACAGTCCTGATTCTTACAAAATGAATTGTTAATATCCTCCAGGTATGTGGGCGGGTCCATTTTCCTCCAAATGGCTCAGGTCCATAGCCGGTGGTTAACTTTTTCGTCACCCAATTAGGAAGGGTGTACCATTGCCAATCCCAGACCTGAAACCCCCTTCAATCTACAGGAATAAACAGTCTTTTGCTCTAAACTAATCATAGAGAACAACAGGGCTTGTCTACAAAATGGTTGAAACCCTATCTTAAGTGTCAATGAAACAGTTAAAACAAAACAGTCCTTCTGGCACTAAACAAAGAGGTGTCAGTTTTCCTCACGTTACAAAGAGGATTCAAACAATGGTTTAATCAATATTCTGATGCAATCGTCTGGCCTAAAACCCAGCAGGTTACATTTTTAGAAGACAGAGGACACTGAAATACCCTTGGTAAGAAATATCAGCTTTGTTGTAACTTTTAAACTCTACAAATAGAGGAAGATGATTTCTTTGCATAAATCTTAATTTGATTTTACAACTTGTTTTGTTAAAATATCAAAAGTTTTTTGGGTCATATTTTGATGCATAGTCTGCTCAGCCCCGCCCCCTGCCTCAGTCTCCCTCCTGCTTGTGTTCAGACTGGTCTGCCACCTGGTGGTGTTCTGTCCTTACTGCATCTCCACTGTCCTCATGATGTATTTATATCGACACAGGGCTGCAGGTAACTCTGAATCATTCACTGATTTATAAACACTCATCAGTCAATCAGGGAAAAAAATATAAAACCTGTAAGACATACAAACTTATAACAGAGCACTCTCACATTTTAGTTCTTAATTATTTTCTCCAATCAATAATCATAAGAGTCCTGTGATG